GCCTAAGGAAGTTGTCATATAAGTGGCAATCATAGGAACAGTCCAGAAGGTTGCAAATGCTAGCAATTTCTATAGTCATTAGTAAGATCCTATAAGAGACACAAGGAAAAATGGCCCTTCTTTCTCTAGACATGGCTATATCTGGAGGTGATGCCTGGGACTCTAACAGCCATTTTGTGACCAGAGAAGGACAAGTCTGAAGGCAAGGACAAGCCTTTGAGTATGGTGTGGCATTGATGGGGAAACAAAGGATCCTTCAGACTATGGCTGAGCTTCCTACCTCTGGACTTTTAGCTTTGTGAGACACATTGCCTTATTATTTGAGCCATTTTCTGTCACAGTTTTCTATTTCATGCAGCTGAAGACACCCTAAAGATAAACATACTCAGCTACATGACTCCAGCTCTGTGTTGACATTTTGTTTGATGGGTTAGACGTTCTCATAAATATAAAACTAGAGGAGGTGTCATTATCCTCTACTATATCATAAAGCTAGTTTCTTAGATCCTCCTAACATGGTATTTCTTTTTCTAAAGCATCAGAGAGGATGGAATAAAATGTTTAAACCACCAACAATATGTAAAATACCTCTAGTGAAAATACCATGAAGAAGGATCTGAAAATAAGTTTCTCAGTGTTCTTGCATAATCTAGATTAAATATCCCATCAATATTTATTAAGCACTTAGCAGCACTAAGGAAGTTAATAATACTAAGTCCTTTGTATGGATTAATTTATTAATCTACACAATACATTACGCATCAATCACTCCCATTTTATAGATAAGGAGGCAGGATTAGAGAGACTTATCAATTTCACCAAGATCACAGAGATCTTAAATGATGGAATCAAGATTCAAATCAAGGAAGCCCAGCTCCACAGCTGGTGGACTATCTTTTTGATAATTAGGCCAAAGTGATGACTCTCTTCAAGGGAAAATTAATTTCACAAGTCAAGTTAAACTGAAAAATAGGCATGCCTGTTGAGGGAGGGGTGTGGTAAAAATACTATTTCCAAACTCATGACGAGATGCTCTCAAAGAGACTGGGGGATGTTAGTTTGGAGGAAGGGGGTTGGTACATCTCCATCAGCATGAACTCCCTGCCCTCCTCCAGGGCTGCCACTGCCACCCACTGCCTCAACAGGTGAAAGTGGCTGGGCCAGAAGGACCATAAGGGGAATTGTAACATTTTCAGCGGAATTGTTATGTTTAACAAAAACCTCTCAGAGAGCAGCTAGGGCTAACAGCCTCATTTTCTAGAAAATGAATCTGAGACACTTGCTCAATTATATCCCTGACCCACTCTCTTGTGCTTCACAGGGTAAGATAGGCTTGTGAGCTGCCCAAAGGTGGGGAAATGCCTGCTTATTTTAACAGAGTTCATGACCCTCTCTCAGCTCTTCAGAGGCCCCAATGCCGACTCTATCTGCTCCCTGGCAGCCTGATACACTGGTTTCACAGCCAGGCCTGGATAATTCTTCACAGGGAAGCACAGAAGTATGTTTCTATCACTGATGCTCGCTCTCTTAAAACATCGCTTATATCAGTTTTATACATCCAGACTCTGAAAAGGATGAATATTCGGTAGTGAGGGTCAGGGTAGCAGGGGGCTTTGGTTTATAGGTTGTTTAGCTTCTATCCTACACCAATATCGTGTAGACATTCTCTCTCCAACATCGTTCTTTTAGACAATTAACCAGCTCATCTTCCCAGCACTACTTGAGAGTGATCCATTTCCCTAGTCAGCCAATCAGCATCTGGGAAAAATAACAAAAGTTACCATTGGTGATCTACTTACCTTCCACCAGACAATGAGCTTAGTGCTTTGTATACATTGTATTAATTAATCCCCATAACAAAACTCTGATATGAGTATTGTCACCCCCAGATAACAAATGAGGAAACCAAGGCTCTGAGAGGTTAAGTAACCTCCCTACATTCCCACAGCTGGTGAGTAGTGATCACCAGTCACGTCAACATAGACCCAAGACCCTCCTGATCCACCAAGATGCCATTCCATCCACTTCTTAATATAACTGACCAAAAGAGAATAATAATGCAAATAATTACTGTTCTTTAATTAATCTTTCCAGTAGGATCAAATGCTATGGAGAGAAGCATGGTATCGTGGGTGTTTGGGAGAAATACAAAGCAGGAAATGGGATTAGGGCATTAATCAACTTTCAGCATTTGACCTCCTTCTTGCAGAAATATCTCTGCATGGTTTTCAGAACATCCTCACTCCTGATTTTCCTCCAACCTCAACCTTGCTCCTTCTCAATTTCCATTTCTGGTTCCTCCTCCTCTGCTAACCTTTAACTCTGTCGTCCACCCTCTCCTCTCTCCAAATTCCTTCTCTAGGTGATCTCATCCTCATCTGTAGCTTAAAATAATATTTTTGTACTGATGACTCATACATCTCTATCTCCAGTTCTTAACACTCCCCTAGGCTGTAGATTTATATATCCAACTGCCTACTTGACATTGCCCCTTAGCTATCTAATAAACATCTCAAATTTAGTATGTCCAAAATAAAATTCTTGATTTATCCCCAACTGTCTTCCTTATCACAATTAATGGTATCATCACCACCAAGTTTCTTGGGCCAAAAAATATTTTCTTACTTCTCCCAACTAGTCTATCTGCAAATCTTGCCTACTCTTACTTTCAAAATACTTTCAAGATCACACCACTTACTGCCACCTCCATTGCTATAGCTCTAATCCAAGTGACCGAGATCTCATCACATCTGAGCTACAATGGGCTGTTTCCACTCTTCCTATGCCAGAGTTCATTCTTCACACAGAAGCCAGCCAGAATGAGCACAAAACAGATCAGATCAATCTATTCCTTAAAAGCCTCCAAAGGTTCCATTGAGCTTAGAGTAAAACGCAAACTCCTCGACACAGCCAACAAAGCAGTATATGACACATCCCTTGCCAGTCTCTCAGACATGACCACATATCTCTTTCCTCACCATTCTCCTGTTTCCCTGGTCTTCTTTCTATCTTTCCAACACACTGAGCTCATTCTTGTCACTGGCCTTTGAAACTGTTGTTCCTTCTGCATAGAATGTTCTTTCCTCAGATCTTCTATGATGACTCCTTTCCCCTCATTTGAGTCTCAGCTCTAACGTCACCTCCTTAGAATGATTTTCACTGGTTATTCCAGCTAAAATGGCTTCCTCCAGTCCCTCCTGCAAGTTCCACTATATCCCATCACCTAGTTTTATTATTTTAAAAGCACTTACATCATGCGATAAGTGTTATTTTGTATTCACCATTTGCTGTCTATCTCTGCCCCCTAGAATGTAAACAAGAAGACAGCCCTGTCAAAAGAAAGTGTCCCAGTCAATGAACAGCTGAGCGCTATGATGCCAGAAGGGAGGTCAAGCTTCTACAGAGATTGGATGAATTATCCCACAATAATATCCACTCATGATTCAGCAATCCATTAACACTTAGCAACCAAGAAACACTCCGATTAAAATACAGGTTTCTAGAATGCCCTGACTCAGGGAAGAATATTTTCTGGTTAGAGATCATAGATATTCTAGCCACTTAAATAGACTTTCAATTTTAAAATAGCAAAGTGGCACTTTTATCCATAATCTCTGATGAATTTGAATGTGTATTCCAGTTGCCTGGGACAAAATCATTTGATGACAATCAATTTTCAGGGACATACAAAACTGAGGACTACATCTCTCTTATCCTAGTGAATACAAAACTAAGTACTGAGAATTTGAGTAATATTGTATTCAAAACCCAAAGTATGTGGCTCTGGCTCATTGTTCAGTTGGAAGGGAGCGAGGAATCTTAGGTTGCAGCTGGGAAGATCACAATCTATGCATAGACAACCTGTTTTGTAAAACTGTCACCTGTGATAACTTAAAACGAAGGTAATATACTTTGTCAACTTGTAGTTTTACAGGAGTGATTGGGAAACAGAACTTTTCTAGCAGGTGGTGACTGGTGTTGGCTGCACTGGACAAGGTACTACAATAAAAAGAATGAGCTAAGAACATAATTAACTGATTTGTAAGCAAGCATGGCAGGTAACAGAGGTGGCTCAGAAAATTTGGAGACTTGCAGAATTGGAAGAGGTAATTATTTCTTATCACCAATCGGTGAAAGACTGAAAGATCAGAACACCGCCTTGTGTCAAGGAATAAATCAAGGGTATGGTTTTCACACTCACTGTTAATCTTCTGAATGAGTTAAGATGGCACTGAGTTAGTCTTTCATTTAGACAAAAGAGCCCAAATAAAAAAGACTGAAGTTGTGGCTCTTCCGATGAAGCTAGGTTGGCTTAAGATACCTGCAGTTAAGATGAAACAGAGAGAGGGATGCGTCAGTAAAGAACCGTGTATGTGCCTACTGGTTCAAGGAACTGACCAAAATCAACTATGAAAAGAAGCTCTTTTCCATATGGCATAGTGATCAGCATTAGTTTTGATGCCTTCTTCATCTTGGGAGCCTGAGCAACTCTGAGACACAGAGCTTCCCTGCTGACTCCTAATAGCCATATAGCTATAGAGTTATTGTTTTAAGTCATTGAAATTTGGGAAGTATTTTTTCTATTAGAGACAATATCTGAGCCTCCGGTAAACTCCCTTCTTTGACACCCTTTTAAAAGTTCTTATTTTATCATCTTATAACAATGGATTGATATTCCATGCCTTGCTTTATGATCAACTTATAAAACAGTCTCATGCATTTTTCTGTATCATTTATATATTCTTGCACGACATCATCACTCGTGGTTGCCTAATACTCCATAGTAGGGATGCTATGCAATTTTTGCTCAATCATACTGATAAACCCAAATGAGCCATTTTGAGCTTTTAGTATTACAAATAATAAGATAATACTCTTACAGCTAAATCTTAATACTAGGTTTATTTGATTTCTAACTCTTATCATTAAAATTTGTGCATCAAAGCCTATGCAAAATTTTAAGGATTTTTGCATTTATTAATTTATGCATTTATTCCAGTAGAATTTTAGGCATTAAGGATTCAGTAGCAATCAAGATGCAGAAAGCCTTCACGGGGGCATATTACCAAATTGCTTCTACTGACATCCTCTGATACACCCACCACCCACAAAATATGAGTGCCCATTTTCCCACACTCTTAGCCACATTGTGTAGGAGCATAGGAAAATCTTCTTGCCTTCCATAACATCATCTATTCAGAATGTCCTGCCCATATCTGAAGATGACAAGTAATAATAGTAACCACAGTCTAAGCAGACTACGCTTGTTTACTTTCAGAAGAATGTGCATCAGAAACTAAAATGAGTAGTCAATCTTCTCTATCAACTTGGAAAAGGGGGCAAATTCCACATGTTCGTGGTGCTTTGTTCAATCCACTTTACAGCACTTCTTCTGATGTACAAGGTATTTGTTCTTGTGCACTTCCCTCGATAGATTATCAGGTCCTTGAAAAAGAATAAGGAAGAATGTTTAAGGAAGTGTTAAGGTAGCCAACTACTCAAGCCAAACCTTGAGGAGATAAGGGGTCAATCACATCCCTGTTTATACTCTCCACCTTCATTTTCTCAATAACAACAGACAATGAGTGTCCACGTTTTCCCTCTGTTCATATCATCTCACTTCACGGAAAGGCAAGTTAATTATGCAAATGAAGGCAGCAACTGCTGTGCAGTTGAAAGAGCTTGGTCACAATAACTGATCATCTTTTGCAGACTCATAAAAATGAAGTTGGAGAAATAGCTGAAGGTTGACATTATTTATATAGATATAAACTTTCTATTTACGCTATAAGAAATCAGAGAGAAAAAGAAGTAAAAAGCTATAGATTCTTCTTCCATTCCAATTCCACGTGCACATGCAATGGCAATACACAGTGATGATATAGAACAGAATTTGGTACACGAAATCAATGGGAGTTAAAATCAAAACTAAAAACTCCTGCCTGAAAATTCACTGGTAAATTTGTATGATGAAGCTTTAGGCATGATCGTTTTTTAAGTCTCTCAAAGGAGACTTTTGGGAAGAGCCTAAAAGGAATGTGATTCCAATACTTTAGAAGGAAAATATTATGTTTCAATACGATATAAAATATTTACTATCTGCCAGTGATGGTGTTCTGAGTGATTTGCAGATATTAATGTGACAGTATAGTGTTTAAGGATGCATTTCATCCCACATAAGCAATAATTTGAGCAGTATATCAAAACCTTAAAAAAAAATCCAAACCCAAGTGGAGCAGAAATTGACTATTTCTGAAAATAAGTCTGTGCATATTATTATTAGTTTTCTGTGGGCTTTTTCAAATATTCTCATTTATATTTTCCCACCAAACTACTAAATTTTGATCAAACATCAGGAAGTATGCAATATAAAGATATGAAAAACAAAACATGATACACTTACCGCCATATTTATTTAATTTACCAGAATGATTTTCTTTCCTTTTGAGTTCCTTCCTGGATCCTTGAGGAATACTTTATCTTTCTCTAGAGTGGGAATACAGTGCATATATCTTCCAAAAGCCTGACTTACGCTTTAGCCTCTTACTAACAGAAAAAAACTTCACCAGCAGACATTCAATCTTCTTACATGGATGGCTCTCACGTCACTGACCCAACCTCACCATACCAGCTCCTCCACGGAGGCCCTCTCCTCCACTCAGGGCCACCTCCACCACTGTTGTTGGCCCTTGTCTAACTAACCTTGTCTTTCCCTTCTCCTCTGCTCAGTTCCCCTCCCCTTGCATTTCCTTCTTTTGTTTAGCACACGTAGGATATCTCCTCCCTAACATTTATGATCCCAAACTCTGTATTTCCTTTAAGTCCAACTCCACACTCACTTCCACCCTTCAAGCTTACTTTTATCTTGCTCAGTGATGGATATTCTTCAAAGTCCCATAGATCAAGCATGTCTGATGATCACACACTTGATTACACGATGACTTGGGATTATTTATTCTTTAACTTTTTAAGTAGATATATATGTCTGACTCACTCAACTGGTGTCAGTAGAAAACTTATTGGATTAGGAACTAGGGTCCTGTGGCCTACTATACAATACTTTTAATATTATTTTACGCAAATCACCTAACAACTGCTTCTTTATTTCAAAAAAAAGTGTTGAATTACAATATCATCATCTTTAAAGTATCTTCACACCTAAAATTCTATGAATCTTTAGGGAAAAGAATTGTTTCTTGTTTCCCTTGTATTTTCCATAACACCTACTACAGAGCTAGACAAATAGTAATTTATTAAATGTAAGAATAAGTTTACTAAGTAAGTGTAGGTAGATCGATTGATAGACGAGTGGATGGGTGGATGGAGAGCTGAATAGATACAGCTTTGTGATCATATCAACTTTATAACCTCTCATTTCTCTGAACCAGCTAAAGTAAAAATATCATCAAATACTTAATTTTGCCTTCCTATATTGATCACATATATTACTAATGAGTATTACTCTCTCTCTTCTCTCATTTACTTCCCAAACCTGCTCTAATGAAAAAAAAAAAAAAACCTCTCTGACTCCCTTCAGAATAGCCCTGCGGACTCTACCTGCTTCAATGAGTATATCTAGTAGCTTTCATACCTTTAATTATTAAAAAAGAAAAGATCCAATGCAACACTGAGAAATATTACAATTTTTTTTAAGTGACTGGTTCTTATGAGATGAGATAATGTTGCATAACCAAGACCTGAAATTTGATTCTCATCTATAGTAATTCTTGCCGTTTCAATTTTGTGAAATCATTTTCATCAACAATTTGACAGAGAAAAGTAAAAGAAAATGATTTTGTATCTTCTAACTGCTGCAGATTTGTGAGCTGAGAGTAACTGACAGATGTATATTTGGATCAAAGTGTGAAGATACACTTAATTCTCTTCCAGCACTCTTTCTCAGCCCCATTTTTAAGATATAAGATTTAATTCCCATGTACACAAACCAGATTCAGAGTTCCATGTGATTTACTGCTCTAAATTTCCAGGCAGAACCTGCCTGTAGAAAGCCCATATGGATGCACCTACAAGAAAGTTACATCCAGGAATCCTCTTTGGAAGATCGGGTTTTTTGCAAAAGGACTGAGATATTGCTTTCTCGAGAGTCTCTTCCTTGTTGGGCTTTAGTCTCCATCACTCTCCCTTCTCCAGTTTTCAGATTCCATTCTGCAATATCAATAGAGTGCGCAGCTCTTTATCAGGGTAACTAGTCACATAACAGTAAAGGTAGCTATGACCCAAACCCTTAATGCAAATATCCAAACTTTGAGATAATTCTTCTTCTCACTTATACAACACTCCATCCCACCCTATTTCAGGCAGAATTGAAATATCTCTGTCTACTCCAAAATCAAGATAGTCCATGATGATAGAATTGAGGATCATGCATTCTAGCTTTTCAAAGAGCATTCCAATTTTGAATGTTGCATATGACTATTACCCAAGTACATATCGATTTATCAGGTCATATTTGAATTTTTAGTTTCAATCATATGGTCACCACGGCTGTGGGTCATAAACTAATTTTAGTGATGATCCTCCCAATGTAATTCTTAAACTTGTATTCACTGAACAAACATCTAGTGGATAGACATTTATTCACTCAGCAAACATTTATTCACTCCGTAAACATTTATTGCGTGCCAGGTATTGTGCAATGATTTGGAGATACAATGACGAATAAAATACAATACCAGTCTTCTAGGACAGAGATCAGCAAACTTTTTATGTAAAAGACCAAATAGTAAATATTTTAGGCTTGTGGGCCATATAGTCTACATCGTGACTGCTCAACCCTGCTGCTGGAATGGGAAACAGCCACAGAGAATGTAAAGGAATGAGCCTGGCTGTGTTCCAACAGACCTTTATTTACAAAAACAGGTGGCAGACTAGATTTGACCCACTGGCTATAGTTTACTGACCTTTGCTCTAGTTTCTTAGAGTCTAGACCAGTACTATCCAAAAGGAACATGACAGGAGGCACAAATGTGAGCTATATATATACTTTTAAATTTTCTAGTAGGCATATTTTAAAAAGTAAAAAGCAATCAGTGAATTTCAATTTAGTAATACATTTTATTTGACTTGCTATATCCCAAATATTATCATTTCAACATGTAAGTAGGATCAAAAAAATTACTACTTAAATATTTTGCATTTTTTGTACTATGTCTTTGAAACATGGTGTTTTACACTTACAGTACATCTCAATTCGTCCTAGCTACATTCCAAGTGTTTAATGGCCACCATATTGGACAGCCCAGGTCTAGACAGAGGAATAAACAAATAACTGATAGGGATAAGCACAAGGAATTTAGAGTGAACACAAAGGTGGAAAAGACAACTTCATCTCCATGGTGGTTGTGGCTGATCGTCAGGGAATGTTCCTCAAAGCAGAGGCATCCTGTGGATAGAGAGGAGTTTCTTCGTGGAGGACAGGGAGAAAGAAGGAAGATTCCGGACAGAAGGAAAGATATGCCTGAAAACCTGGAGCCAGGGAAAGGATGCAGCTTCTTAGAAGAATTTCAAGTAGCTCTGTATGCACAGAGCCGGGCTGGAGGGTGTTGACCTCGAGCTCAGGCAGTGGCAGCGGGAGTGGAGTGAAGTGAGTTAGATGTGGGCGATATTAATGAGACAGAATTGACAGAAGTCGAAGATTGATTGGATATCAGGGATGAGAAAGAAGGACGAGGAAAGGATGATGCTGAGGATTTCGGCTTATACAAAATGCAAAGACAGAGTTGTCATTTGTCAAGATGGGACGCTCAGGAACAGGGGCAGATGTGGGGAACAATGAAGGGTTTGGCCTTGAACACCCCAGGATTTGAAGCCTCAGGGAGACACACACAGAGATAATGGGACACACATAAGCAGCATCTGCGCACAGAATATGCATTCACATTCAGGATAACTCTTTGTCAGTAGCTGCCCTCATTCTGTGATCAAAAGTCTCTTTCTCTACTCTCTCCAACCAATATTTTTTTCTAGCTGCTCTGCCACCACATGGGAAGGGCCTAAAATCCTGATTCTGTCTGGAATGCTGGCTCTCTCTACCCCTCTTTACCTACTTAGCTTCTGTTCATTTTCAGGTCTCATTTTAAATATCACTTCTCAGAAAGACTTCTCAGATCCCCCTCAGATAAGGTCAGATCCCCTTGCTACATACTCATATACCTTTTTCCTCAGTGGCAATTTTCAGACGTGTAATTTCACATCTGAAAGCCAACCCTGGCAGTCTAGTAGTTAAGATTCAATGCTCTCACCTCAGCAACCCAGGTTTACTTCCCAATCAGGGAACCACACCACCTTTCTGTCAATTGTCATACACTGGCAGCTGCGTGTTGCTGTGATGATGAAAGCTATGCCACTGGTATTTCAAATACCAGCAGGGTCACCCATGGTGGACAGGTTTCAATGAAGCTTTTAGGCTAAGACAGACTAGCAAGAAGGACGCGGTCACTCACTTCCAAAAAAACTTGGCCATGAAAATTCTATGAATAGCATCAGAGAATTGTCTGATAAAGTATTAGGAGATGAGAGGACGGCTCAGAAAGTCCGTGCAGGGTTCTGCTCTGCTGTGCACAGGGTCACTAGGAGTTGAATTGACTTGATGGGCCTAACAACAACATTTCACATCATAGGTGTAACTATTTGCTTAATGACTTTTTGCCTTGAAGGAAAGATTATTCAGCAAGATCTGTGTCTCTTCTTGCTCCACACTGCAATGCCAGCCACTTACCTGGCACATACAAGATGTTCAGTAAGTACCTATTGAATGAATGCATATAATACTAAGAGTCTCTGTTGAAATCCAAAATCCTCTGGAAAGGATCATAAACCTTAGCATGAATCAGTGCAAGGGAGTCCAATACCCACCAACTCAATCAGGCAAGAAGTATACACCTTTTTTTATTTTTCTATAATTTAACTGAATTTTTTTTTTCAATTCCTCATTCACAGCAGAGGTGGCAGAAACATAATCTCAGTCATTTTCCAACATTGCTAGCAGCATTATCTGCCCAAGAAGCCTTTGCCTATTGTGGCAGGTTATGCCAAAAGTTCTATCTCTTCCTTTGAGGGCATACGCTTTTAGAAACTGCAGCCAGAAAGGAGGACTTTTTCCCCCAGATTTTCTGCCATATAATATCCATTTCCTTAGGCAATGTGTGTGCAAAACTTTAGATGCGGGGCCAGCCCGGTGATGCAGCTGTTAAGTTCGCACATTCTGCTTCGGAAGCCCAGGGTTCGCCAGTTCAGATCCTGGGTGTGGACCTATACACTGCTTGGCAAGCCATGGTGCAGCAGGCATCCTACATATAAAGTAGAGGAAGATGGGCACGGATGTTAGCTCAGGGCCAGTCTTCCTCAGCAAAAAGAGGAGGATTGGTGGCAGATGTTAGCTCAGGGATAATCTTCCTCAAAAAAAACACCAACTTTAGATGCATGAATGAAGGTGGAGATAGAAGAGATGGGTAAACAATAAATGCTGGGGAACAGGGAGGAATGGATCAATAATTTAAAAAGGCTATCCTAGCACATCAGTTTATTTAAAAATTAAGAGATCATAAATGACTTTGAATGAATGGATTGCAGATCAAAGACATTTCAACTGCAGCAAGGAATACATACAGCCACAAGAGACATGAAGAAGAGAACACAAAGTACTTCCCAGGGAAGGACTAACCACTGAACGAAACAGAACCATGTCTTACTCATTTTTGTGTCCCCTGTGGAATGTAGCACAGCCTAGGATGGAGTGAGCCCTCAGTTTGCAGTTCCTGAATTAACCATTATCCTAAATTTCTCCTTGGCAATTACTCCTTAAGTGTCTGCTGGATCACCGTCTCCACCTCTGGACCGTGAGGTCCATCAAGGCATGGACGCTGAATCACAGACATTGTGCCTTTCTTATTCACTGCGCATCTCCAGCCCCTGCCACAATGCCTGGTGCAAAATAAGTGCTGGATAAATATTTAATGAATAAATAAATACGTTGAACAAGAAAAGGGCAGATGAGAATGTGCAGAGTCAAAATCCCTCTATCTTTCAAGTCCCAGCTCAAATTTTAAGCCTTTATCATACAGCAGCTCGTCCTAGAGAGTTTTCGCTGCTACCTCTGACCTTCCCAAAGGCCTTGTTTATCCCTCTCGGAGCATTTATTAAGGAGCTGTATACACAGTGGTTAAGGGTGCAAGCCCTGGAGACAGAATGCTGTTGTTTAAATACCAGCTCAGGCATTTTCAAGCTGTAGGACCTTGGGCAAATTACTGAAGGTCCCTGAGTTCTGCTTCTCATCTACAAAATGAAGAAAATGATGCTCTCAATTTCGTGTGAGGACTAACGAAGAAATACATGAAAAACTTTGAGTTCAACAGCCAACACATTGTAAGCACTCAGAAATTATCTATTATATTTATCACTCTCTACGTTTATAGTGATAGTTTTAAAAATTGCCCCATTTATTGAACACATACTATATTTCAGGTACAGTGGAAAACACTTCGTGCGAATTTTCACAATGAAGGCACAGTTGATCCTATGGGTTATTATTTTACTTATCTACTATTATGAAGCTGATGCTCAAAAGGGTTACATAAGTTGTCCGAGGTCACATAACTAGTAATTAGATTTACTGTCATTGAGCCCAGGCAATAATACAGCAGCCCTGCTCACTGTCTCCATGGATGTACACATCTTATGTCTTATACTAGGTTATAAATTCCATTGCAGTCAAGGATTTGATCTGATTTATCTTTGTATCCCCTGAAGCATCTAGCTTCATGTCAATGATGGGTAAATATTTATTAAATGATTGAACACAGAGTGAAGGGACCCCAAAGTCAAATTTTATCAGTGTCATCATTTTGTCCTAGCATTGGCCCTGCGGAAGCTGCTGACATGTATTTTGAACAGAGGCAATCCTTTCCATGTTTAAGCAGCACCCACACTAACAGATACATTAAAAAGAGCAGTGTTCCCCTAACAGAAATGTCACGTAAATAGGTCGTTTGCACAACAAAGTTTATCGGCACGTTGGCTTGGTTCATCAATTATGTAGTATCCCAAAAAGTTTGTTTTATACCATGTCAGCAGTACGGCAACACAATTCCTTAGTGCCCTCTACACATTTGAAATTTTTAAAAGCATTTATGATGGGTGCAGTAGTC